TATAATTATGTGCTATAGCCACTGTAGAAAATGCTTTGTTCACCACAACAAAGAACAATAAGCAAAGTAAAGTGACATTACACTGTATCTTTTTCTTTAAGAATGTTGAGAAAGGTCATGGTACGTTATAACTAATAAAGCTGTTGAGTAAGGAAGTTTAAAGTTGATCTTGCTGTGCTTAAATGTAACCCAATGACAAAAAGGCAGAGGGAACTAAAATTGTAATGACATTAAAAAATAGATCATATATCAATGTGCCAACTTCATTATACAAACACCTTGAATCTAAAGGACGCAAACAGAAAAACTGAGTGTAGTCCTGCAACAGTATTCTTCTCGCGATTCTCTCCCTAATAGCTTCCAACTATAATCTGCAGTTCAACTAACTGCAAAAACTGATTAATAAGCATTAATTGATACATGCAATGTACGGATCTTCTATTGCAAGCTGTGGATTTTGTTACTTGATTAAAAACCGGGTCCATTTCCTGTGCAGTTTCAAGGAAAGCTCTGCTGTTTCACAAGAGAGCCTCTTCAACATTTGAAAAAAAAAAAAAAAAAAAAAAAAAAAAAGGAAAGGCCTGAGGGCATCAATTAAATTTCCTGAAACCAAGATTTTAAAGTGAAAATGAAGTTCCATGTAGACACCTATGTTTCAGATTTTCTTCAGAGGAATCAGGACAGTTACATTTGCTATTCTCAAACTGCCAAAGCAGCTTTATTCTCCTTGCTGCAGATCACCAGACAGCGGCCTTCCGACTTTGTCTTTAAGAATGCTGAGAACGTTGTTGAAACGCTACAACAATAAAGCCCTTGAAGAAGGAAGTATACAGCTGAGGGAAAAAATGCGGGGACTTTAATACTGAAACAAACAACTGTCCCGTTTGGCTGTGCCCACTGCTGGTACCACCAGAAGCGCGGCGACTGCCACGGCAGAGCAGTTTGTATGGAAAGATCAATCTCCAGGATGGAAGTCAGCAAGTTACAGACTTGATTTTCACTTCCCCTGAAGCCACTCTGGTTGTGTAAAGGAGCATTAGGGTGGTTATAAATTGTACTTTACAGTGCCTGTGTATTGCAAAACCACTCGTAAGTAGCCTTAGTTTAAGTAAGAATCGGGTTTGAAGGCTTTAATTCCCCTTTTGATGAACACCAATTCAGTTCAAGATGAATCCTGTAAATGAAACCGGGGAGGAATACAGGTTCCTAAAATAAGCACGAGTGGCCAGAATTTTTGATTATTAAGGATGCCTTAATTTTTGGATGCAGTGCTGGGCACATTTCATTTGCAGGGAATGGACTGTCGAGGACCTCCTGACAAAGTGGCTCTCATTAATAGATCTCCAGTTGAGCATCCCAAAATGGAATTGGCCTAAAACCATCATCACTTCTGAAAATTTTGGCAGCCAGCATTCATGTCAAGGGTTCGTAGGCCGCTTATGTGACTGGGTCATTACTTAGGTTTTATAGGTGGTGTTATTTGGATTGTTTTACCTAATCTCATTGATTTTTACAGGACTAATTCAGAGTGCCTTAAGTTAAACATTCTGCTAAGACTTGAGTACAACTGGTCTTAATTAGGTTTTTCCCAATAGTATGGTTTTCCCCTGCCAAAAGCAGAGCAAACTTCTTAAAAATGGTTTTCTCCCCCTTTGAAATGATGACACGTGCCGTAACTAGCGCTACGAAAAGAGGCAATCATTGCGTCGAGCCCTACTGTACCAAAACTACACACAGTGTATTTGTGCAAATAACGCAGCTTGGCAGACGTTTCACTATTGTGATCAATCTCAATAACTACGTCTGCAAAATCGGGCGAGTTCCCGTGAAGCAGCAGGCAGGCTGAGCTCCGAAAGGCGGCATGCGTGGGGGCTTGCTTTGGTGCTCATTTGCTCACTACGCAGAGGAGCATGGCAAGTGTAAGGAGTAGGCAGGAGGGCATAGAGCGAAATCGCTAGCACAGAGAGACCCTGAGACTTCAGAACTAAGACTGAGTCGTTAAATGTCCACGCGGAAAAGGAACGGGCATCGTGCAGAGAGACGTTAATACATGGAGAATGACAGTAACTACAAAAAAATACCAGGGAATAAGGATGATGGAGGGGGAGTGAGAGCCAAAGCAAGGCTAAAATCCAGGTATTGTCCTCAGGCCAATTTCTTTTGCTTGTTTTAAGTATCTGATTCAGGGGGAGGAATCATATTTATGGTTTTTAACCATATTTTTATTTTAACTCACAGCATGGTGTCTCCCTTGTTTGAAATCATCCTGCCACAGTCACAACTGTGAGCTCTGATGTTCTGTTAGGATGGATTTTGAAAAAGAGAGTTACAAAATGATTTGGGATTTTTTTTTTTTCCTTTTAATGCATAACAGCAATACCTGACTTTAATTATTGCAGCTGGCATTCAAAAGCCTATGGCAACACCACGAAGGAGACAAATATCAAGTGGCATAGCAAGCTGTCCTCTCTTTCTGACCAACTTCAGCATTTATGCTGGGACACTGACATTTGTGGCTTTCGTTTACCAGGGCAACTCACATTCTCCCTCCCTGGAAGAACAGCCCCACAGCAGAGAAGCACTGCTACTTTCCACCAGAAAAATAGTATATTTCCCCCTCCCGCCCCTCTTTCAAAACTCAGTTTCAAATTGCTCTGTGCAGCTCAGCACAGGTTTCTCCAGCTACTCCTACTGCGAGAGAGAGAAATGTGGAACTGGCTACACACATACACACACATCTGCACACAAAACACAGGCAAAGTTGCATCGCACTGGAAGAGGCGTTATATCTCTCTCTGGCTCACAGCCACAAGGGTACAATGGCAAAGCTAAAAACGATAGGACATGTGGTTTGTTAAACATCTTATTTGACTTTGGTACAAGCTGTCAGTTGCAATGCGCAGGGAAAGGAACACAGTATCACAGATTCCTGAGCAAATCAATGGCACAGCCTGATATGGACCAAATGCACATTTTAGCTTTATCATTTTTTCCTAATAGTCAATTTAGGAGTAGTAAAGTATATGCACAAATTTCACCCAAGAAGAGATAAAAGGGGGAGAGTTTAGGAATAGCAGTGTAGGTGATTTAAGAGAAACAGCATATCAGACTAATCAGAAGATCAGCAAAGCATCATTGAAGTATGAGAGGAAGGAACTTTGATGATGCTAAATATGGCAAATGCTCAGTTTGCTAAATCCTTTTGGATCCGATTTCAACATTACAGTATTTGTCATTTTTGCTTTGCAGCCTGTGGGGGAGGGGCCGGGCATTTATCAGGAAAAGTTACATTGGCTACATTAGGCACTGCACCATACAGTTTAATGATCTCGTAACTGCTGGATCTTCAGTGCAAAACCAAGATTTAAACCTCTAGGAAATTCACATCATATATAGATAAGACAAGAAACACTGAGTGAAAGAATCTGTAAATCATCGCCATTTATAACATCTCTTTCCCTCCATGATGGGGGGAAAAAACCCAAGGGGCTCCTTTCCTGCCAGCTGCTAGACCCCTTGGCCAAGAAGAGGAGACTGCAATTACTAGCAGTGCTAAACATACGAGATTTATATTTTCTTATCTACCTGAAAACACCTATCTGCTCCCCACAATTCTTCACTGAAGTAATCCATTTACATTAACACTGCAACTAATGTTTTGAAAAGGAGTAATAAGTGCCTGAAATCATCAAGGATACGAGAACTTTTGAGGGCAAAGAACATTTCAACCTACATTCTGCAAACAGAAAAGTTGGATTAAAAAGAAAAAAAAGCTTTAGGGAATTTAAGCACACTTTGACAGAAAAAAGTTGGTCATTATCTCCTCATGTATTTCCTTTTCCTGCATTTAGCTATTATGCCCTGGCACACGGGCAGACCCACCTCCCAGGGGCGGGAGTCTCCTGTCTTGTGCGTGTGTGAGTACCTCACAGGGCCCGGGGGGGCCACGGCACACCAAACATGAAGTCTGGATGTTGCCGTCAGACGCAATGAATGGCAAACCCCTCAATGAACGTCCTCTTCTCCCATCTTTCTTCATCTGCCCCTTCCATGCAACCATTCTCCCAGAAAAATCTGTATGCTCAGTAGAGGGGGAAGGAGCCAAGAGAGACAAGAAAGTCTTTGCTTAGAGACTTTTTTGCATCATCTGAACTTATGTGCTGTGAAAACAAGCACTGTTAAAAATCCCTCAGAAGGATTTTAGGCAGGAAACCACACTCCTTATGCCGACAAATGTCACTGTTGCTACAGGAGGAGGCTTATTATGCAACGTGACTCTGAGTGGAAGGTGTAGGAAAGAAAACTAAAATTAATAATTAGTACCACCATCGCTTTCCCACTTCACTTCACCAAGAGATGGGATTACTCGAGCCTCCCCCTCGTGCACACCCTGCTCAAATGCATCATTACATCTGACTACCTGAACAATGCAAACTGCCATCCTCAGCAGGGAGAAACACTCTCCCGTGGTATCGCCGAGGGTCAGCATGTTAATGATAACAATAGTCTGCTGAGCTACCAGGCTGGCCTGTAAACAGGAATCTTAATCAAAGCCACAAACCCGTTACAGCAGAAAACAGAGAGCATTTACTTCGAGTAGTCATTTTATCCTGCAGCTTGACAAAGCAAATGCATTTTAGTTCTATAAATCAAATGACGGAGAGCAGAGGAAGGTAACTGCAAGTGTTTGATCATGCAATTACAGCGCTTCAGAAGAGCTGTGAGGTGACTTCTTTCACTATTGTCTCTCCCAAAGCAAACTTCAAAAAGTTGAAGCTAAGAAACTTATCAAAAAAAGTGAAAACTTTTATCTCCTGTCAAGTCCTAGTGAGCCATAAGTCTCCAGCTACCAGGGCTAAAAAGATTAATTAGCATCATTCAGGGATGTGGAATGCCCAGATTCCACCGGTCACGGCCACAACAAAAAGGTACATTATTTTCAAGGCAGCCTGGACCACAGAACGGCTCACACACACACAGAAACAAAGACTGGTGCCTAC